AACATGTTTTCTCACAGTAAGAAATCACAGTTCAGCCTCCACTGTTTATTCCTACTGCCACCCTCCTCATGACTGCCACCTATAGGATCTTGTCTTATTGCAAATTGAGCTCTGAAGCTGATGACACAACATACAGAAACACTTACATCCTTCATACATCTTTAAATGCCCTCTACAACCCTACTATAAATCTAGTTTACATTTATAATGCACATTGCACACATACAAATACACTATATTTTGTGGTATGTGGGGAAAAAACACCATGGAGTGTAAGCTCTTGTTTTAACAGCCTTATATTGATAACAGTCTACACTGGTGTACATCATTGATGGATAATCTGCACATATGTTTGAAAATATCCATGGGAGCATATTGATTAATATCAGATGACTGCTGCCTCTCAATTAGCATTCACATCTCCAACTCATTTATACAACTTATTTTACCCTAATGATTTATTTTTCAACTTAAGACTTATGCATCTCCCCTGCATGTAGACTCTACAAAAAGATCCATTTGACAGCATGGCAGTGACAACCGGAACCAACCCCAAAAGATCATGTTATATCACCCAGACCATGAACACATTGATCCTCTTATGCAGACTGAAGTATATTTAAAAAACACTGCAGCATTTTTTCAGCTAGGATGAGGAACTCAATTTAACAAAATGACAGTGAAACCTCATTGCATGCAAATGATGTGCAATGTCCTCTGGCTCTTCCCAGTGCTGTTAAACCCAGATATTCTGCACTCCTGTGCAGAACAGCCCAAAACAGGTTTATCCTTCTCTTAAGAAATGCATGTTACAGTACTAGGCTACATATGTGCAATAACCAGAAAAGCACATTTCCTTTATTGTAGCAGCTAAGCGTCCTAGACACTAAGACATGTTATGATGTTCCTTATCCCTCACTCAGCAGCAGCACAGGGATCCTGCAGCAGAGGCAGCACAACAATCCTTTTCTGAGAAAAACACACGGCTTGACAGCAGGCAGTGGATGTAACAGTACCTTAGCAGCAGCGGTTAAAGGGCCGATGCAGTGGCAGGTGTTTCCTACTGTTGTTAGAAAGACAGAAAAGCAGCGGAACCGGTACGATGGCTGTGGCAGCTCTGTAGCATAAAATGGTTCATCAGTGCTCGGCAGAAAGAGGCACAGCCAGGCAGCGCAGGGAGAGAGAGAGACAGCCAGCGAGCATCACTCAGCTCACACTACCGTAACTGTGCAGCAGAGCACACACACACACCCATCAACACGCCCCCTTTCCCTCTTTTGCTCTCTCTCTCTCTCACTTTCTCTCTCACACACACACACGCTTAGTCACACAGACACAGGCACGCAGGGGTGCAGAGGCAGTGCAGTGTGCAGCAGCACTGAGCAGCGCTCCCTCTCCAGGATGTCTTTCGTCTCCCTTAATCAGAATTGGTCATTCTATGTCCTATTCTCAGCAGTCACAGACAATCCTGTCAATAAAGCCTTCCAGCCACGTGCTCCATCGTACCGCCTGCCCACCTAACTGCCACTGATGAGCAGCCATGATTGAAGCTGGCAAGGTCATGTGAGGTTCTCTGGCGTCCCCTTTGGTCTTTGCTCCCAGTTTTGTTGCAGTGTTTCTCTGCTATTTTTTTTTTAGCAAGCTGATCCTGGGACTCTGCCTCGCCTCGTCATGGGTCATTATGCCACAGAGGCTACCCGGAGGCTCAGTTTGACAAACCCTCACTCCCTGAATGGTGGGCCAGACCAATCAGCTATCACAAACAGCAGTTACAACCTAACCATCCAATCACAGATCAGGAAATCAAGTGCAGAAGGGTATTAAAGGGGATTATTTGGGCCATCCTGGGTTTTTTTTCACCACAGGGAGATGTGGAGGGGAGCAGCACAGCATGTGCAGTATGGCTGCCCTCTGTGGCTGACAGTGGTGCTGCACTCTGTTGTGGGAAAAGGAGAGAGGAGGAGCAGGGCCCAAAACAGATATGCTTTCCTCAGCTTGGATGCCTAGCAACCACAGCAGCTCCTTACCTCTGTTTAGAGCCTTCCCTCCACCTCCAGCGGGACCCTCCCTGCAATCCCAATTGAAGCTTATTTTGCACTGTGGCTGTTGAACACTTGAGGCACCACGTCATCACAAACGACTGATGTCAAATGATCCCAACTGTGTCAACACAAAAGGGGGAGGTGCTGACCTTTTACAATGAGCAACACACACACCTGATGTTTTCACTATAACGTCAGCAGCTATGGGTAACTGTAGATTAGATCACCTCCAGGGCCATTAGTAAATTAACAAAAAAACAGAACACAGCAGGAGTAAAAGTAGAACTACAAGCACTACACTTCTTAGATCATTTTAACAAGGGAACTGTGTTCATGAATTTCTTTTGATTCTATTTCTCAATGTAGAAGTAGTGAATGACCTTGAAATGTCTAGTTTGATATGGCTCCATGAGTAAGAATAATGTAGGCTTTCATTTTTGTGCCTATTGTATTTTATTAAAGCTGAAGAGTTCAAATACTGTAGCTACATGCTTTCAAAGTGTGGGTCAAGTGGAAAAACTTTGTTTTAAATCCATTAACATCAAACTGGAATTATTACATTGTCAGAGCAAAGTGGGATCAAGGCATGTCTCACTCAAACTAGCGAGGGCAGAGTAATGCAAGGTGAATCAAATAGCTGGTGCTTCTGCTGGTCTTGTGTTTTTTTAATAATCATTCAGAGGATGCCTGCCTACCTTAGCATGTTAAATGAAACCAAAACTGTTCAGACAGCTGTCAGAGGATGTCAGAAAGCAGACCAGGAACTCTAGGCGTGCCTTAACACAGCTGACTGAGAGACGTTTGGAGGTGTGAACAACTGTTTTGACATTCGCATTTGTGATGGGTTCTGCAGATTAACAAATGACTGTGTGATGCCCAGCACCAACCACAACACGAGGATGTACAGTAGCTTATATATTAAGAGGCAGCAAATTAAAAGAATATATAGAACAGCACCAAAGACACATTAAGACAAAAAGTATATATCTTCAATGCTGATTTGACAAAAGTCTGATTACCAATATCTCATAATATCTAGTCTGGATGATATAATGATCTGCATCCTATATCAATATAAAACCTCTTGCTGGGTTCACCACATTTCTTGTCTTTCCCTAAGCAGGAAATAAATGCTACCCTTTGTGGTTACAGACCAGTGACTTCAGACATAATGAAGTTCCTTGTCCTGCTGTTTGCCTGCAGAGAGATTTACTCCAGTGCTATCCATAACAGCCTCCGCTGAGAACTAGCAAGCCTCTTGTTTCAACACCACAGTCCTGTCTGAAAACTCTGGCTGTGCTTTCAAAACAAGCAAGGCGAGGATTGTGTTTTTTTTTTTTAATAGGCAAAGGCTGTATGTGATAACAAACCGCTACTGTCACTTAAGGTTGCTGAAAAGGAATCACACTCTCCTCTCTTAAAGGTAGGGTAGGTAAGAATGGAGAAACCAGCTCGAGTTAGCTAGAATTTGAAAGTAAGCAGCCGAAAAAAATCTGCCCCTTCCTTCAGACTTCCTTACAGAGCCCCTGCTCCAACACACACGAACGTGCACATGACCAATGAGGGTACGAGATAAGTTTGTGCACAGATGGAAGGCTGACAGGCAGGTAGGCCATCCAGTTATTTTAGCCGGGCTCAGATGATTGGTCGTGCTTTTTACAGCGCCACGGCTTCCACAGATGAGATTTTTTTATGTATTTATTGTCAAAGCATTTAATGTATTCATTGCTATCGGGATGTTAAGAGCATTCCATGGAATATAACAAAAAGTGTGAATTACCTACCCTAGTACCTTTAATGTCCCGGTAAGCAAATTACTGTACCTGTGGCAGTCAATCAAGCTGTTCCATGTTGTGATCAGAAGTGATACAGTTCAGTGAGAGAACAGTGTGCCAATTCTTGATCCAACATTTTAAATACAGTCGTACCAATAACAATTACTTCAATCATAATTGTATTTATTTACCACCAAACAGAGGATGCTGCAAGCTACGTGTCACAGTTGAAGCAGGAGAAATAACATTTTTTAATCAAACTAGCTTAAAAGGACTTACAGTGTACCCTTCTAGATCAACCAACACTTTCCACATCCCCAAGCAGGTTGTTATATAGCCACACAAACACAATCCAAAAACAAACACCACCCTGTGCTGACAGACTGACGTTAATCTTCACATGGACACTGATATAAACTTCTTAAGCCAACCCAGTTGCATTTTGCACATCTGGATAACAGCCGCATTTCAATTTGTACCATCTTATTTCTGCTACTACCGAGGCTTCCACAATCAATTTAAATAATTTCTTATTTCTTAACTTGTCTCTTAATGGTAATTTTATTTTACACAGTAGCGCAATGCCACATAGATAAGGTTATAAAAAGTCAGTGTTTCCACTCTTAAATAGCTGCAAGGCTTCCTGTCTGTCACTGTCAGCAAATGTGTTTTGCTTACATTCATATTATTTTAACCGACACTATACCAACAATATAACGTATTAAATAACGTAGGTATTGTTATCGACAAATATAAACATACAATTTTAGGGGTGGTTTTGAAATATTATAAACTAATGCAAAACTATGGCAAACCTTCCTTAGTGCAATACATTTGTAGAGACTCCATATTTAAGGCTGTATTTAGTCAAATGAATATTGCATAATGCGATGATGGGTAATCTCTTTGGAAAGAAGAAAATTACACGTACTATAAATAAAGCATTCAAATATATTGTTTGATTGGTAGCTCAATCATCTGCATAAAACATAAAAATACAACACATATGGTTGCATTTGTTAATGATGAGCCATAATGACAGTAAAGAGATAAGGAGTGCATAGTGAGGTCAGATTATGGCTGCAGGCATCAACAAGTGCTGATGTCCAGACACGACTGAATCAAGGCTTATTCATGGAGAGCTTCACCACAAACACACCGGCAAACAACACGGCACGCTCACCTTATCTGTGCTTCTTATCCGGTTGTTTTTCTTTGCTGGGGCTAACCTTTGTCTCTGGCTCCACGCTAATTCCCCATGAGACTGTTTCAGGAGTTTCTCCACCTTGCAAGTCTTCTGACAACCCATTGTCCCCTGGCACAAAAAAAAGGATATCAAGTTAAGCCATGCATCAATCACATTTCATCCCAATGATACATTCCCTGTTTTCCCTTTACAAGCATTAACCTACCATGACAGAACGGTTTGCATGCTTCTCCAAACGCTTGTCATGGTCAGCTGTGGAGGGTGACGTCATAACTCCAGCATGTTCAGATTATAAATATCTGTATTCAGAAGGGTTACATAATAATGGATGTTGGATTATTGTTAGTACACACAGAAAGAAAAGACGTGACCGAATCAGAGAAAGCGTTTGGTAAATTTATTTACCAAAAATGATACACAAATAGGAGTTGCAAAACCAACAAAAAAGAAACAAACCTTAAAACTCAAAATCTTACCTAAACGAGAAAATAAATATACAGGCTTCTTACCTACACTAACTTAAACAGGAGAAAACGATCAATCCAAAAGGGAAAAGAAAACAAAAGGGTTTGCAGTCCTGAGAACATAAATCTGTCTTGCAAAGACAGGTAAGGTGAAACTGGCCCGCAGCCAGAGGAGAAGGACAACGATATCAAGGTGCGAACACAGCACCATAGAACAAAATCTCAAAATAAGCGCCGCGTTGGGAGTAGGAGAAGTTGAGCGTCAAGGGCCAAGGCGAGAGCGACTGAGGGTGAAGAGGATGAGGGTCGCGCCTCGAAAAACTATAAACAAGGATCCACAACACTCGTGAACCATACAACAGGAAGAAGGAGCCGACGCCCGTCACGTGAAATGGACAGAAACGTTCTGTCAAATACACGAGTCCTCACGTTTGGGAACAAAAGAAAAGGGAAAACCTAGCTAGCAAAAGCAGTACAAATTCCATCACACTGTCTGACTCCTGTCTGCTCCTGATCTCCTGCCTGCTCCTCTGTCTAACTCCTGCTTGACTCCTGTCTGACTCGTGTCTCCTGACTGACACTGACTGACTTCTTGCTGACTCCTGTCTGACTACTTTCTGACTCCTGTCTCTGAACTATTGTCTGTCTCCTGCTGACTCCTGTCTCCTGCCCGACTCATGCTGTCTCTCGTCCGCTCATTTCTGACTCCTGTCTGACTACTGTCTGACTCCTGCCTGTCTCCTGTCTGACTCCTGTCTGTTTCCCGTCGACTCCTGTCTGACTCCTGTATGACTCCTGCTGGCCTCCTGCCTGACTCCTGTCTGACTACTATCCTGACTACTTTCTCCATTCTCACTCCTGTCTGACTCCTGCCTGCTCGCTGTGACTCCTGTCTCCGTGTCGACTTACTGTCTGACTACTTTCTGCTCCTGTCTGACTCCGTCTCCTGCTGACTCCCTGTCTGACTAGCTTCCTGACTCCTGTCTGACTCCTGTCTCCTGCTACCCTCCTGTTCTGACTACTTTCTCCCTATCTGACTCCTGTCACAATATCTGGGACCCAGCAAATCCAGTAAAACACATGTAAAAAGGGAGGAGCACACACACACACACCACACACACACACACACACAACACACACACACACACACACACACACACCACACACACACACACACACCACACACACACACACACACACACACACACACACACACAACACACACACACACACACACACACACACACACACACACACACACACAAACACACACACTCGTTCGCGTCCACCACGGGTAATCGACTAATCGATGGAGGAACGTACAACTAACCAGGTGGACTCTGTCCTCGTATAATTCGCCGTCGGCACGTCAAGGAGCCGGCGAG